CGCCTTCAAGATTTCTCGAGGGCTGCACCGTTCCTGTGGAACTCGCTTCCCTCCTCCGTTAGATGCTCACCTAGTCTCCACTACTTCAAAAAATCGTTAAAAACCCACTTCTTCATAAAAGCGTATCAATTAAACTGTTAATAGCTCCTGACTGATTCCTCTTCTGCCACTGTCACTAGTCTAATACTATCCTTACCTTTTTGTATCATTTTACCCCACTCCCTCTAGCATGTAAGCTCATTGAGCAGGGCCCTTAACCCCTCTGTTCCTGTGTGTCCAACTTGTCTGGTTACAGCTACATGTCTGTTCATCCACCCATTGTAAAGCGCTGCGGAATTTGACGGCGCTCTATAAATATAATAATAATAATAATAATAATGTGTCTGTATGTATCTGTCTGTCTGTTTGTCTCTGTATTTGTGTGTGTCTGTCGAGGGGGGGAGGGGAGGTAGAGGGGGAAGAGGGAGGTTCCATGCAGCTTTTGACGCTATATGCACAGCTTTCTGGACCTGGATCGAGCCCCGCCAGACGAGGTCATTACTTACCCTGCCTGTGACGAAGGGTGTCTCCAGCAACGTCCCAGCACACTGCTCTCCTTCTGGGCCGAGAGCCAAGATGGATGTCTTGTCCATCAGCCATCCACGATCCAGTGAGACTGATTGTGGAGTGGGGGTCTTGCACGACATCAGCCCCATCTGAATATGGGGGGGCTAAGTGGTGAAAAGGTACCAGCTCATGTGCTGGCCTGGGTTTGGAGAGGGAAAAGCTGGAATATGGCCGTATCACCTATAGTGATCTGAGTGACCTCCAGGTGAGGCAGGGAGGTACGGGGAGAACCATGCAGCAATCTGTAACTGGAAGCCGAGCCGGACCCCAGTTGAAGCATGCTTGTGGAATTGGCTGAGATAAGGACACTGACTTTCCTGAAGCCTATTACATGCAGCTTAAATAAAATATATGAATAGTACAAATATTATATATACATTTTGCAGTACAATATAGGCCCATTTTCCTACCATTTGGTTCACGTGAGTAGAAGTAACAAACAGACAGGGAAAAAGGAGCAATAGTAAAAAACAAACAAACAAGCAAGCAAACAAACAGGAAAAAATATGATCTATGAATAAATGCCATATTTAGTGGCTGTCCCCTAGCCATTAATCATCTTTTTTATTGATGCCACAGATAGAACTCAAAATCAGGAAATAAACTAAATGACTGGTTCATTGTCATCTTCAATAGTTTTGTGATTTGATCATATGGCGATTTGGAGGTTTGGATTCAGACATTTTGCAGTTCATTGAAAGTGAATGCACAAGTCTAAAAGAATAAACTTTTGAAGATTATTATGGTCACTCAAACTGTGCCAACACCATTTAAATGCATTAAGAAACCCTTTAATGCATTCCTGTTAAGATACAGAATGGTTTAAAGGGCCTGGAGACAGTGGTTATTGGTCATCATCAACAAATGTTAAAGACAATACACATTTTGTTTTCTTCAGATAATTGAATTATTTAAATAGGTTGTAAATGAATCAATTAAATCCATGATTAAGGGTTGGGTTGTCACTCTAATCTTTGAAGAAAGATTTCTCCAGGCAAACTTTTCCTAAGATCAGGACTAGGTGCCATTGTTTGGTTTTGCGGAGCTTTTCTTATGCTACATGTAAATCTAATTTCACTGTTAAAGTCATTGTCAGATGTTTACTTTTACAGAATTAGAATGTTCTTTTTGGGTCATGTCCAAACATGTTAAACAAAATGTACTATTAGGGTGGAAGTGTCTAACTTTTAACTATATTGTCACATTGTATGTATTAAAATATATTTGAACTAACAATCAGGGGTTTACTCAACAAACCAGGAGAAGCAGAGAAGCAGAACGGACAATAAATGACAGATTTTAGATTTTTGTGCTGGCGACAGGACGTGGCCAGCTTGTGCCTTTGCTGCCAGCACTGGGAACATCCAATGGAAAAACCTGACTGTCCTCTCACCACCCATGTCTATGGTGCATTATTTGTTTTCTTGAGGTTTCTTCTAATAATACCATGCTTCCCTTGTCAATCCAATTCCTACTCTCTCTCCGGCTCATTTTAGGCTAAAGTAATAAAACTGAAAACAGTGCTGATGAATTCCACAGTCTGGCTATTATATTTTAGGTAAATTTAAAATATATCTGACAATTCACATTTCCGTGAATAATTTGTCGGTATTTATTATACATTCTGGATGTGAATAAACATTCAATAAACAACAAACTAGACACCGTGTTACTCATTGCAAAGGTCTAGCAAGCGATGCTTTGGTTCTTTCATGCACCTATTGTGCAAGGAGACTTGGATAAAATGACCAGATGTTCTCCATTCCAGAAACAATCCCCTTATTGAGGCCTCTGTCAATGTACTTTCTTTGTCCCCTGAACTCCTCTGAACTTTAAATGGAGAGTATGCTTTCAAAATAACTTGGACCTTTATACACTAAACAGTGAACTGATTTGCAAAACTTAATCCCCAAGACACAAATTCTTCAAATACAATGATATTAGCTTGTTTTGTCATTGTGCAAAATGTGTATACAATTCTTCCAATTTCTGAATTTACCCACTTTCAAATTTGCACACAAGTTGCATCTAGTAAATAATCTTATTGGATTTCTTCATCCAATTTGGGTATTTACTAAAGGCAATTCAGGTGCAAATTCTCCTATTGTCCACAAAATTGCAAATTTGTTCCTGGGGCTACAGAAAAATAAGGTTACCATCACACCATCACAAATTCAAACAAACAAAAATTGCAAATTAACTATGCAAAGTATGCCAAAATACATTCAATATGTTACCCATTTTCTTCAACCATCATTACATCTCTGGTTACCCCTCAGTGAAATTCCTTCAATGTGGTCAAAAGTACCAAATCTATCGGACACTCAATACACAATCCAACTGGTTCTATATTATTTTTATTTGTAAAGTGCTAACATAGTTTTCAGTGCTGTACAATTGAAACGTTAGAGACAGTACAATACACAGACATGCAACCAGTAAAAAAGAATTAGATGAGCCTCAAGTGTGAGCTCGAATGGCCACAGTGATGCTGGTGTAGGTACAGTAAGTAACATTTTCAAGGGCACCATACATTGTAAGTCAAACAGCAAAAAAACACGTATATTTAGATGTATTGTTACGACTACCTCCAACAGATTTATATACAATTTTTTTATTAAAACCTATTTTAATCTGATGGCCTGATTGTAAATAATTGCTTGTAGACTTTGGAGGTGTAAAGGCACTAAATGTTTTTTCGCTACTGTAGCTCTATATCATGCTCAACAATATAATTGTCAAGCGATAAAAGGGAACATGATGACTGTAACATAGTACAACCAAAATGCTAACACAAATGCCAGACAACCCTGTCTGACATCCAGTGGGTTCTCACAAGGGATCAGACATACTTCCTCTCCTCCCATCATTTCAAAGTATAAGTACCTGACTACAGGAGTGTAAAAATTTCGATTGTATACTGACAGTTGAGATGTAATAACGCAAAATGTTCTTCGACATTGTTGTTTTCAAACGTGAAATGGAAAATAAAGATTGTCAAAAAAAACTATTTTAACAAAAGCATTTGGCACTTTAGCCAATAGGCTATTGACTAAAATTGAAAAATAAGAATGTAGCAAAATAACCACAAAAAAAAATATTTTTATGCTGAATTTAGGTAAATTATTTTCACAGTGTTCAAAGGGCATCCACAGAAAACTTCTCTGATGGGGAAAAGCTGTTTTTGTTCAGGTACCTGCAACCAAAGTTAGGGAGACACTTTGCCCTCTGCTGGATAACAATGCCCATGGCATTGAAAATGTCCAAGTGGTACACCCCATCACAGGTATGGATGCAGTCTGTTAGTACCTGATGTCCATGTTTGGAGGGCTATGCATCTCTTTAAGTACCTGGTGTTTATGTTTGGAGGGCTATCTAGCTCTGAGTACCTCTTGATTATATTTGGAGGGCTATATAGCTCTGAGTACCTGGTGTTTATGTTTGGAAGGCTATCTAGCTCTGTTAGTACCTGATGTTTATGTTTGGAGGGCTATCTAGCTCTGAGTACCTCTTGATTATATTTGGAGGGCTATCTAGTTCTGAGTACCTGATGTTTATATTTGGAGGACTATCTAGCTCCGTGAGTACCTGATGTTTATATTTGGAGGACTATCTAGCTCTGAGTACCTGATGTTTATATTTGGAGAGCTATCTAGCTCTGAGTACCTGATGTTTATATTTGGAGAGCTATGTAGCTCTGAGTACCTGATGTTTATATTTGGAGAGCTATGTAGCTGAGTACCTATGTTTATATTTGGAGAGCTATGTAGCTGAGTACCTGATGTTTATATTTGAAGAGCTATGTAGCTTTGAGTACCTGATGTTTATATTTGGAGGGCCATCTAGCTCTGAGTACCTGATGTTTATATTTGGAGGGCCATCTAGCTCTGAGTACCTGATGTTTATGTTTGGAGGGCTATCTAGCTCTATGAGTACCTGATGTTTATATTTGGAGGGCCATCTAGCTCTGAGTACCTGATGTTTATATTTGGAGAGCTATGTAGCTCTGAGTACCTGATGTTTATATTTGGAGAGCTATGTAGCTGAGTACCTGATGTTTATATTTGGAGAGCTATGTAGCTCTGAGTACCTGATGTTTATATTTGGAGAGCTATCTAGCTCTGAGTACCTGATGTTTATGTTTGGAGGGCTATCTAGCTCTGAGTACCTGATGTTTATGTTTGGAGGGCTATCTAGCTCTGAGTACCTGATGTTTATGTTTGGGGACTATACAGCTGTACCAGCAGGACCCTCACTGTGTGTTAGATGTGGCAGACACGTGCTCCCAGTTTGCACTGTCCTCAGACAGGGTGAAGGGGCGTGTCCTAGCTGTCTGGCCCCGCCCCCAGGAGTTGATAAAAGCCGTGGCCTCGGCGTGCTCCCAGCACAGTGTGCGCTGGCTGGGCTGATGACAGAATGACTTTCAGGCGACTCAAAAAGCTACAGCACAAGGAGGAGTATGCTTCACCCCCGGACCAGGCGATCTATAGGGACAGGGACAAATATGACCCCTATGCGGCTCTGGACACCTACCGGACAGCAGACATGTACAAGGCATTAGCGGTGTCTGGGGGGACTCTCCCTAGAACCAAAAAGGTAATTCACAAATAATTACTGCTGTCTTCTTCTTATTATTATTATTTTAATCCACCAATACTTCCTGTGGAGATTGATGGCAGAGACCCCGGTAATTGATGCCATGGTTCTGGGTTAACTCACTGCCTATCCTGACACGTGTTATGAAATCCTCCAGGAATTGAGGGGTTAATTTACCATGGATTAGAGTGATTCACGTATCCGGAGTATCTCTGTAATTATAACCTCTGGACAATTAATGCTACATTGGGTTCTAGAACGTCCCCGAGTTCCACGTTCTGTTGTCTTCTGGTCTCCTATAGGATGGGTTCTCTCTCTGGAAACCCAGCAAGGGTTAAACCGCAGGACCACCGCCACTTGGGGGGATGTGATCTCATTGTTTTCAAAGCACTATTGTCTTTTTTTATGTGGAGTGTGCAGCTTCATTGCTTGTAATGCGAACAAGCCTGCTCTCTCCCTCAGCCGGTTTACCTGAGCAGCTCATGTCTGCTTCCTGACTGCCCTTTAAATTATTCACTGTTTAACTTTCCATTCCTCCTTTTCGAAAACCTATAATTTGATTTCTATATAAATATCTCTACGTGTATATAGATCTACACACCCACCCCCTTCATCTCCAGATGTGTATATATACCCAGCACTGTTGGAAATAAAGTGTGTGTGTGTGTATTTATAGGAAGCTATCATTACTCTGTCCCAAGACACTGATAAATCTCAACTATCTGTAAATGCCTGGTTTATTCCATGGCCAGTATCTGAATTGGCTGATACAGTAGCATGTAAGGGACTATAGTTATTCGTGGTTTACAATTGCTTAATTTCTACATCTCGCTGTACAACATTGTGGCGTATGTTGGTGACATATACCTAGTTGACGCCTAAATGTATGCTTGTCAAATCTCCCTTTTTTATAATTGTAAAGTGCAGCAGAATATATTACTGCTATATATAGATGCTAGTAATAAGTGGTCTACCTTTTTTGTCTGTCAAACTAGCTTTATTCATCATGTGACAGCTTGTGTTTTCTGGTAGTCAGTAACTCTTGAGGTTTAGTACTTCTGTAACTTTCAAACAAAGTAGGCAAATTGATCCCTATGGCTGTGAATGTGTTAATGGTATAGCTGTTATCTGTGTTGGCTTTCCTCACCTCCCTGGCCATTGGCTGTAAACTGGTCCTTCCTAGAGTATGCTTGTTTACTAGTCTGGGAAGAAGCTCCCCACCCCCCCAGATTTGAAGTCACTTTGATAAAAGGGAAGGAATATATAACAAACCCCTATTTAATGTGCAGTGTGTATTGTACACGCCATCCGCTGTCAGGCTGGTGCATAGATCACTGAGATGTGAAAGGCAGCCAAAAGCTACAATTACTCAAATATCGCTTAGTGAAGCATAAAATAGTCTCTTACACGTTAAATAATAGTCTTTTACAAGTTAATTATCATAGACCTCTTGCAGGATAATGGCATTGGATAACCAAATTGAGGATTTTTGCTTAAAAATAAAAAAAGTATTTAGCATATTAATGGAAACCAAATACTGGCACATTGACAGTACAAAAGTATCTTCCATGTTATTTCTTCCGAAAAAAGCTAACAATTGTCTAATACCTTCTAGCAGATGTTAAAGGTTATGAATGTTAAACGTGTTGACTTTAGAACTGTATTGCAAAACATACGGATATATTTCCTATTAATTATGTGCCAGTCTATAAACCCTGACACTAACTTAATTTTTTCGTATTTGGTTTAAAAAAAATTGGGATTATTCATTTTTACTATAACGAATATTCTGTGCTAGGGTGATGTTTTAGTTGGTTGTTAAAACCGCGTTGCCATGCGGCAAGTGCATGGAACAAGCAAACTGGTAGGCTGCTTTGCATTTTCTAACAATGCGCCCACATTATTTACTACATAGCAAAGTGCTGAATGTATCTATTGGGATATTGTAAGGCTTAGATAACCAGTGAGCGACACAAATACTGCCGGAACCTGTTTTCCTAGTTTTTTAGTTTTGTTAGATGAAATTTCAGCCATTCCTGAGATTGCTGAATGACTTACATAATGTTAAGAATATTAGGATGCTGACAATATGTAGATACTGTTAGTCTACTGAAAAGCCACAACTAATTCTATGTCAATGTGTACCGGTCTGCAACAATTAACTGCATGTGTTTTGATAATCTCAATGAAATGTTTGCAATTACTAATGAAGCTGCCATTCACAAAAAATGTGGTTGAGAAGATCAATCTCAGGTTGCAATATTCTTTGTTTACACTTTGCTGGCGTTGACGGTAGCACATTTTAACATCCCCCTTCCTTATTGTGGCAACTGCAATGCAATTAGGCAGTTTCTCACAAAGTGCTCCTGCACCCAAATACTGTATGTGATTTCCCATAATGCTAGGTGTGTTTTTTGCAACATTGTTAGTACAATAAAGATGACATTTGCTATTGAGTGTAGTTGTATTGGCATTGTCATGTGCTTGTTAGGTGCATTTTGGAAGTGAAATTCACCGGTGATCGCTGTGGCTCAACTAGTAGTTTTGCTGAAGTTTGGTTTTTTCACCACTCATTACTGTTGCGGAGTACTAGATTTTGTGCCACCTGCTTATCTTAATCTTTTCTTGTCTAACTGGCATGTCCTGTTGTCTGACGATGTGGTTGAGCAGCTCAAAGTATCATTGAAATGTACCATAAGAGCCCTGATAAAGACACTAATGACTGATCCCATAACAGAAGGCATATCTAAAAGTTGCCTTTTCAGTGTTAGTCTAGTTTCATTATTCCTTATCTGAGTTACACCTGTTTGATTTACATGCCAGACTCCTAGCTTGCTCCTGAGATAACAAGCTGTCAGTTAGGCAAATACTTAGCAATCTACAATGCACGAAACTGGAATATCGAGTTTCTGTTTGAGTTAAGGCTAGTTCCTGCAAGGTTCATTTTACTATCAAATGAAGGACTGATTCCTTACCTTAGCAGTCTATCGAAGTACACAAATAAGTAAATAAAGAAAACTATATTGGTATCTAGTTTGTTTACTTTGAACCTCAAATATTGTGATCAGTGAGAATTCACTTTGTAAATGATGATTGATGGACAGTGCTTCAGGTCATTTTCCCAGCAGGGGAACCACATATTTCATTCTAATAGACTAGTTTGTAAGGAAACATGAACTGGCAAAATAGGTTAGTGTATAGAGGTTTAAAATTGATTCCTAGAGAATATCATTGGAGACAGGTGCTTTTATTTTATTTGCATTATAGCACAAGATAATGGAAAGCTGTTTTTAGAAACTACAGTTTTCCCACGGATTTATATTTATATTGGTCACTACTCTATCCTAATTCTCCTTGACCTGTCTGCGGCTTTTGACACTGTTGATAATCAACAGCTTCTTCTCATCCTCCGCAATATCGGTCTACAAGATACTGCTCTCTCCTGGTGCTCCTCCTACCTCTCCCAGCGCTCTTTCAGTGTTTCTTTCTCTGGCTCTGCTTCTTCTCCCCAACTCCTTTCTGTTGGTGTCCCCCAAGGTTCAGTCCTTGGTCCTCTACTGTTCTCCATCTATACTGCCTCCCTTGGTAAACTCATTAGCTCCTTTGGCTTCCAATATCATTTCTATGCAGATGACACGCAAATCTACCTGTCCTCTCCTGATCTCTCCCCGTCCCTCTTGACTAGTGTGTCTGACTGCCTCTCTGCTGTTTCTAACTGGATGGCTGCCCACTTCCTTAAACTAAACTTGACCAAAACTGAAATTCTGGTCTTTCCTCCCTCAAGTGTTGTTACTGTGTCTGTCTCCCTCCAAGTCAACGGTGCTACCATCAGCTCCACCACGCAGGCTCGCTGCCTAGGGGTTCTCTTTGACTCCGACCTCTCCTTCAAGCCTCATGTTCAATCTATCGCCAAATCCTGTCATTTCCATCTCAAAAACATTGCGCGCATCCGCCCCTACTTGACGCCAGATGCGACTAAGGTGTTGGGTCATTCCACTGTCCTTTATCGCCTTGACTACTGTAATCCGCTTCTGAGTGGTCTTACGTGCTCCCAACTAGCGCCGTTACAGTCCATAATGAATGCGGCGACGAGGCTCATCTTCCTGTCCGCCCGCACCTCCCATGCCTCACCCTTCTGTCAATACCTACGTTGGCTTCCTATAAAATATAGAGCTCAATTTAAAATTCTGGTTCTTGCTTTCAAATCGCTACATAATGCTGCTCCCACCTATCTATCCTCCCTTATACAAAAGTATGTCCCGTCTAGGCCCTTACGATCTGCTGAAGACTTACGTTTATCTTCTGTCCGTAATCCCACCTCTGATGCTCGCCTTCAAGATTTCTCGAGGGCTGCACCGTTCCTGTGGAACTCACTTCACTCCTCCGTTAGATGCTCACCCAGTCTCCATTCCTTCAAAAAATTGTTAAAAACCCACTTCTTCATAAAAGCGTATCAATTAAACTGTTAATAGCTCATGACTGATTCCTCTTCTGCAACTGTCACTAGTCTAATACTATCCTTACCTTTTTATGTCATTTTACCCCACTCCTTCTAGCATGTAAGCTCATTGAGCAGGGCCCTCAACCCCTCTGTTCCTGTGTGTCCAACTTGTCTGGTTACAACTACATGTCTGTTTGTCCACCCATTGTAAAGCGCTGCGGAATTTGACGGCGTTCTATAAATATCATCATAATAATAATAAAGTTTTACCTATAGTGTATTATTCCCCCCATGTTTATGGGACGTGCTGCTAACCAGGTTCTGTTCCAGATTAACTCTACTTCCTGTAAATGAGATACAGTGGAGGTGTGCACTGTGCATCACACTTTGCAATTATGCAGCTCTTTTAAAAGTCATGCTTTGTTGTAAAATCGTGTAGTAATGATCAAATTATATTTGCTTTGTAACAGAATTGAATTTTTGCTTTAAGTTGTCATCTTGTTCACTGACCTCCTTGTATGTACAACAGATATCGGTTGAAGATAAGTGTATTCTGGTCATTTTGATACAGAGATAAACAATGGCAATTAGGAAATTAGCAAAGACATTCAGACAACCCCTAATCCTCTGGAGCGGTAAAGTAAACGGCAAGTGCACACATTTGCTGACTTTGTGCTGTCTTGTTGTGCAAGTTGCTAATGGCCAGATGCCTGCTGACATTTGGGGTTGGGAGGTGGGAGCAGGTCAAACAGAAGGTAACTGAATTTTGGTCTAGTATGTTTCCTCTGAAATTAACAGACGATTAGAACAGTTAATATGCCATCTAAAATGCCTTAAAGGAACACTATAATGAAAAGAAACTAAAAGGGTTACTATAACACTTTTTAAAATCTTTGTAATTTGCAATGCTTTAGTGGGCATTAGTAACTAGGTCCCCCCTTCTTAAAAAAAAAAAGTGCAAAAAATGTTTTTAAACATGCCTATAATACAGTGCCAGGCAAAGCTCCAGATGCTAACCTCCACGTTTGTCAGATGACACCCCTGGCCTCGAGATGCCCAATCAAATGCTTCTCAATGATAACTTTATTTGTCCGTTTTGCTATTTTATAGGGAAATTGTGCTCTTAAGGCCAGCAATGGAGTAGGAAGATTTTTTTTCTTTAAGTGTTTTCAAGCGGGCGGAGGCAGTGGAGAGCAATGGTTCTCCTTGCAGGTGCACTGCCTACAAGGGAGAAGATAATTACATCTGTGTCTAATGTAATTTTTACCCGGAATTATTAGGGAGCCCGGAACAGAGTTTTGGCCTGCCTAAGTAAAGTGTCCCAAAATGTGATCTTATGATTATATTTCTGAATGTGCAGAATTTCAAGCTAAGACACTGCATATATATAATCCTATCACCATGACCACTATAAGCCTTTTGTGTTATCTGAGAAGTGTAGATTTAGGCACAGTCACCTAAACAGCAACTCAAATAAAAATCCTTTCAATTTTACCTGTAATCCGAAATCAAGCCAGACTCTTCACTGCAGTGGGATCCACTTGCTGCAAAGTCATAAACCTAATATCTTGTGTCTGATCAAATGCTTCTCAAAGAGAAGCATTGCAGACATTCAGCGCATGTGCAGTGATTGCCTACATTTGCTGATACAGTACTTCTGAGAGAACCATTGCATCTCATAGTGAAGTACTGAATGGCCACTCAGTGTTTGCAGTCATGGGAAGAAAATTAATTTCCATCGAATACCACAATATAAACGCTTTTAAAGCAAACGTTGGAAAAAATGAAGTTGTGTGGTTTTCTACTGTTGCAAAAGCAGGTAGCAGTCTGCTTGATCACTTTAGAAATCATATTGTTCTGAGATACCGGTTACAGTTGGGGATTGACAGTGTTTCCCAGTACGTATTTGGAATATTTGTACAAGTGGCTTTCTATTTAGCCATTCAATAATCCATTCATCCTCCTTGTGAATGTTAAGAGTGGCTGAATTAGCTTGTTAAACTATCCTTTAATTTATATATATATATATATATATATATATAATGTTTTCCCCATTTGTGACTGAAAGCAAACTATTCCATTTCTGGTAATTCATTGTGAATTAGTCCAGTGGTCCAGGTTTTTTCAGTATTTCAATTTGAATACAAAAGTGAAATTCATAAATCCTGGACTGCTGGTTGGGCCATGAGGACAGGGTTGGGGACCACTGAATTAGACTATTAGGTTCTGTGCTCTGTTCCACAACCATCCTGCTGTAAAGTGCATCCATTCCTCACCAGTAGCAAAGAACTTTTGGGGGAATAGTGTCGTTAAAATGATTTGACGGAACATACAGTAATATTCATTTAACTGGAAATAAAGCTAGTAAGCAGTGTGTTGAGGACTGAAGCACATGTGAAATGGATTCATAATACAATGTCTGCTTTTTATGCAGCGAAGTTACATGAACAGCTCTGGTCAAATCTAAGGCTTTACTACACTACATAATCTGTGGTGCTGAAATAATCTTCTGGCACCTTCAGCATCATGCAAAAAAAAGGAAGTTTATTGCTTTTCAAGAATAATGGGCAAGTATGATAATAGAGATGCACAAAAATACGTGTGAAACAAAAAAATTCAGTTTTGCACTCAAATCTGCACGTGGAGAAATTAAAAAAAAATTTAGGTTTTACTTTTTTAGCTGTAAATGCATTGAAGAATATGGTGTATACATCTCTGATATTAGTTATGTAAATACAAACATGGAGACCATATAATATAGAATAAAAAATGGTGATGTAACGCAGTATTCACACCTACTATGTCATTGTGTTGGCTCAACTAATTTGTTAAAGAGCAATGGTCATGCTCAGTTTAATCGGAGCATGACCATGACGGCCCTTTGGTGTTTTGATATATCATTAGGCATTGCTGAAGCAAATGATGTTCTTTAACCCCTTAAGGACCAAACTTCTGGAATAAAAGGGAATCATGACATGTCACACATGTCATGTGTCCTTAAGGGGTTAAGCATCACAGGAACCATAAAGGATTATCTACAAACAATGGGAGATAGTGCCTCCATCACATCTTTTCTCATCTCAGTATGAAGTATAATCATGTAAATTACACCCTGTATTTAAAAGCTTACGTTTGTCTCAGCAGGTACACTCTCATAGAATACCTGTAAGGAATATTAGTGGCTGGTGTCATGGATGTCTGGAGTGTCAACTTTCCCCCCTTATGTGTGTGTGTATATATCTATATCCATCCATCCATCCATCCAAAATACCAGAGTATTGCAGTGTACAATAATACCTTTTTAATGGACTAACATATTTCAAAGACAAGCTTTCAAGAGTTTTTCTCTTACTCAGGTCTGAACCAATACTGATCAATCTGATCGAGTTTAACATGTATCAGTTGTTTTAAGTGTTAAACTCGATCAGATTGATCAGTATTGCTTCTGACTCGAGGAAGAGAGAAACGCTCTTGAAAGCTTGACTTTGAAAGATTTAGTCCATTAAAAAGGTATCATTGCATACTGCAATACTCTGGTATTTTGTCATCTAGTCTACTGGACTAATACGGCTAATCCAATCTACACTGTGTGTGTATATATATATATGTGTGTGTGTGTGTGTGTGTATATATATTTATATTTCCCCCCCACTGGTGTCTGCTATGGGGATGAAACTTGCATATCATGTTTGCACATCTTTACAATTAACTCACTCATTTTCGGAGTTCAGAGCCGTTTCCTGTCCAGTTTCTCCTTATACTCTTCATTTATATGCACCAAACATTTGTTTGTAGCAAACAATATAGACTAATCTCCAGAGTGGGTACAGGGGTACTTGCCGAGCTGCTAAACATATTTTAAAGTAAGAATAGCCGTTCCTTCACTATGTCCCATTTTATCTCTATTTTAGTTACCCACATTTCTTTTTTCTTAATTTGTTGGCCATATAGTCTTAAACAGGGTCCAACCAGCAGCCTGGAAAATCAGTGACGTTGGCTCTGTTTAAACCAGTCTAAATTTTCCGTTGTTTGTGGATAAGCTTTTGTCAGTTTTGGGGTTTTACATTGGATGCTGATGAAATTGGCTCCTGCCATCTCGGTTCATATGTCCAGAGCTTGAACGGCATATTTACTGCAATTAATCATAGCTGCAGAGTAATGTTGGCACAAGCGACCCTTGTGTGAGGTGACTTTTTGTATTTCATTAAAACATTTTAATCTAAAAATATACAGTAGTGGCTCCTTTTTAATATTTACAAACACGTGCAAAGCTGTTATGTTTTTGTGATAAATAGAAGACATTGCACAGGTTTTTCTGCATTGTGGGATACACAGCAACAATGTATCGGCCCCAATTTACTCAGAACTGTGATAATTGCCATTCTCCCAGCCCCCTCCCACACACACACACACTTCTGCTTCTACTGAGGAAAACAGGAGCCACCGCTTTCTCTGCAGGGTTTCTGGCTCCCATTTGCTTCCTTTCCAGTCCTGTGTCAGTTCCCATTGACCATTTGCAGTGTGTTGCTGAGCTAACATTTTTGGTTAGAAGTGTGCCAGATCGTGGAAAGTTACATTAGCTAAAATGCACATCAGCCCATTGTTGGAACACACATGCTATTCAGACGCTGAAAGGGTTAATGCACTTCATAACTTATTGTTGGCTCATGGAAGCCCACGTGAGTGGACTTTGAAAAAGACAGATGCTGTTTTTCTGCCTCTTTGTCACCAAATCATCAATACCATTATGAAAACCCCTGTGTAATGTGCTTTGTCAAGGAATATTTAATACCTATAATTGTGCCGGGGGGAAAGTTACCTGGTGTCCTAGGAGAAATTGTGCTTTGACATTTTGTTTAAGTCATTATTAGAATTTCAATGATATGCCTCAAAAATGTACAGTTAGCTTTGCAGCACTGACAGGTTGCTGTGTATTAAAAGAAAACAGATTGCACTATTGTAGTCGAAGAATGTATGGTCCAGGACTGGACAAATAGCCTGACGTGTGCAATATTTAATCTGTTACTACCGAGCTTCGTGTATTGCACATCTTACTCCAAAAACCATGCTCTGCCTTTCCAGTAAAAAGAAAAGCATTATTTCAGTATTTGAATTTATTAAACTCTTTATCAACTCTTCAATCATTCAAATGAACTTATCCCACTAATTATGTTTGTTTCCAATTGTTTGTCAAAAGGCCATTGTTTGTCTTGTTCTTGTGTAACTCACACCTGTAGTGTAAGTGTGGCTTGCACATAGCAGACCAATCGATCCCCCCCATTATATTTAATTTGTCAAACCATGTATCTCAGTTAATACAATTGAATTATCTCTTGTGTAAGCGTTTAAGGTTCTTCCTGTGGGGAACAGATGGCTTATAAACTTGGATCTGGTGGTTGCTCTGATGAGAAATCACTGGATCTGAGTTTGTTCTATTTCGTTTTAATGTGATATTTTCTACAAGGAAACCTTAACAGCTGCCGCAATACGTTTAAAGCCCGTCTGCCATTTCTCACTTTGCCTGCCATTTGTGACACTTTGAGGATTTGCTGTTAGCGGAATTGCCACCTGGATGTGTTTTATTTACAAACTTTTAACAAAAATTGCATCCCCACACACACACACGTCTTGGTCTCAAAATAAACATTTAGAATAACAAACACTTGATCTCTTTACCTGCCGTGGGTGACTTCAGAATCATTTGGGATTTTGGAGAAACTGTGGCATGTAAATCATTGCCGTCCTGCTTCATGGTTGAGTTAAGGCATTTTACCATGGCAAATGGGAAATGGCAAACAAGATCTGTTTAAAAGAGGCTCCAGTGAGTTAGCAGTGTGGTCTAGATCGCTTTAGAAAGGGTTCTGCTAAGTTATTGTTAGAATTTGATTTAGGTGTATGTTTTGTATGGTTTAATTTTGTTATGTTGTTCCTTTAAATGCGATTTAACATTTAAGAAGAACTATTTGACCATAGGAGCTAGAACTCTTTACTTTAAATAACTTAAGACACACAACTATATTTATAAAAAAAATCATGATCAGTTTGCAGTGTTCAGCATCAATGCTCATTATATGATGTTCAAAGGTCTTGAGGAGGAAGCATCTCTATTGACTATCTGTGTGACCGTACTAGACGTTTTCCTGGACAAACTTAAAACATTGCGCTTTCTCAAACAATGCTTTTTATGGGCCCATAAAAGGGATACCATAACCACTACATTAGCCTTTATAGTTCTTTATAGTGTACTTTTAGCATTACTTGGTATACCAGCTTTGACTCTGCTGGCCCGCAGGTGCAACCCTTGAAAACATGGCATTTCAGGCCATGTGTAATGTCCCCTTATGTCCATATCTGTAGTGTATTGCAATGTTTAAGAACAAATTTAGTTTCAGACAAACCGGAAATGATTTATCATAAAGCAATAAGCAGTAAATCTGCCACTCCTGATAAAGGTATCCTTCCTTTTCACAAATCTACATTACAGTTCAGCATACCCAACAAAGCTGTGCGTTCATAGTTTCAGTGAAATAACTTTTCTAATGTATCAACGAAAGTGATCACCTTTGCTGTAGTGTATCCAGCAAGGAGAGGGAGTATGTTGTTACAATGGGATTTTCCTGATGAAGTTCTTCTGCTGCATTACGATGTGGATACTGGTCAGACTGGTCTTGAAAAGCCATACGGGTTTAACTCTGCAGTAAATAACTGAAAAACAGAAGCCAGGTGGCCTGGAGGTGTATTTTATGTTTTGGAGAGCAGATAATCTTCTGCCCAGTCAGTCTGATCCTACTGCATTGTATTGGGACTAAAGCTTGCTTGTTTGTGGTTTAGCACCTTTGTGGACAAAGAACTGTTTTCTTTAACAGTGTTGCTATGTCACTGTTGACAACTGTAGCTGTATTGTCTCTTGTAACGACCGGTCCTCATACTTTGCAGACTGTTTTGATCTAAAGCTGTTTTTCTGAGACTCTCATTTCGTCTCTGTATACTCTAGGGACAAGCACAATCTACCAAAAATCCTTGTAAAGGTACTTTTACCAAGACATTTTTATTTTATTTTTCTCAATAATTCTATTTATAAAATATTTTACCAGGAAGGATACATTGAGATTTCTATCGTTTTCAAGTATATCCTGAGTAATACAGGTGCTATTACCAAAGTCGTTAATGCATTCTATATGATCTACACATGTGAGCAATCACTATAGGTTTTACTCTGATGCTTGAATGTTGTCCTATAAATACCTTTATAACCGGGTGCACTTGCATTGTAAAGGGTTCCAAACATAGAATGAACTTCTTGTGTATTATTACCATTGTAGACGGATCTTGTAATGGTTTTCCTATTATGGGAGTTTTGGGCTATGCCTAGTAAATGTCTCCAGTTAGCAAAATTAAATCAAAATTTTGGGACCCCATCTACATTTGAATAGTTTTTTTGTGGTTGACCGTTTCTCATGTTCAGTTTTAAGTATTCTCACGTTTTTATTTCTTCCATTCTTGCCCACGCCGGCATAAAGAATTAAAGCCCCTATTCATTTATAATAAGGGCATTTATAAGGGCCACACTTTTCCCAAAATATGTGACGCTCGATCCAAGTTGTGAACCTCTGATCACACAATGGTAGAAATTGTCTTTTGAAATCCACTGCGAGTTATTAAACTATAAGCTGGAGGTTATGAAAGACTTTTTGTGACACAGGATCTTGAAAGATAAATGGTTCTTCTCATAAACTTGTGCGTTGGATGTATGTTAATACATGGAAATATATGGCATTCGTGCAAGAATCCTCTACATGTAAAGCATTGTCTGAATGTGCAATAGATGCAAATATTAAAGCTTTTGTCATATATGTTGGTTGTCACTTTTTGTAGGTTAGCTATCTGCACAATGGAAAGGATTCATTCTTTACTTTGACCACCTGTTCCTTCCCTCTCCTTTTTCTTTGACAACCATTGTTTTGTGCTTAATTTAACCTGCTGCATGCCAAAGATGATCTTTGCACTAAACTATAATCTCCAACTGCCTTGCACAGAGGAAAAATATTCAAAATATAAAAAGTTTTCGTATTGCATTTCTATAGGGATTGTGTCAATAAGTGTACAAACATATCTGCACATAATTAGCCATTTAGCATTATATAAAATGTCTGATCCCTGATTGACCTATTCAGCCAATCACAATGTCTGGATTATTGAAGATTAGCACTTTCATAGACGTCTGGCTGCCAGTTTGTGCTTAATCCATGTGATATTAATCACTTTAAGGATTAGTACGGGGGGGGGGGGGCAATATTCAGAGTAGGGCTTGAGGAGTCAATACCTTTTAAAACATTTTTTTATTAATGAACCAATTTTAATGATATTGCATTCAATGAATGCTTAACGTATGGAGATTTGTTTGACTAGGTACAAAAGATGACATCTTTTAAGTGAGCTCCATTTGCCACCTCAAAAAGTTACTTTCGAATGCATTGTTTATAACATTAGTTAACGTTTGAGGCTCTAGCGCTCGAATTGCTGCACTGATATTCTCCTTGAGTTTCTAAAGTGTAGCAATTTGTTAACATACACCCACTCCTTCAGACATACCCACAGGTAGTAATCAGGAGTTTAGAGGTCGGGCAAACATGGTGGCCAGCTGATCTGGTAATTTCTTGAAATTATCAACTCGCTAAACGGTTGTCCCAATTTTGATACTATAATTCCACTATTTTTACTCGTCGCTCCCTCGTGAAATTACCCATGATCAGCCTCCCAAAACTCCGTTATATGCACCTGCAATAGGATAATATAACTACTAACATAAGTTCTTTACTTGTCAAATTACATAGTTACATAGCTGAAAAGAGACTTGCGTCCATCAAGTTCAGCCTTCCTCACATGTTTTAGCTGTTGATCCAAAAGAAGGCAAAAAACCTAGTCTGAATAGCCTCTAATTTTGCAACAAACTAGGAAAAAATTCCTTCTTGACCCCAAAATAGCAGTCAGATGTCTCCTTGGATCAAGCAGCTATTACCCCAATAATCCTATTCTGAATTTTGGCCTATCCTGTATATTCGGCAAAGATGATGGTGCGGATATAATTTGATGTTTTGAGGTGGATCTGTCACTTATTGCAGATAGAAAATACCCAATTAAAGGAGAGAAACTGCTATGTTTATGTTAGGGTTAATCCAGCCTCCAAATCCTCTAGTGGCTGCCTCATTGACAGCCGCTTGAGGCGCTTGCGTGATTCTCACTGTGAAAAGCACAGTGAGAACACGCAAGCGTCCATAGGAAAGCATTATGAATGCTTTCCTATGAGACAGGCTGAATGCGCGCAGCTCTTGCCGCGCGTGCGCATTCAGCCAAATGAGAGGAGGAGGAGCTCTTGCCGCCCGGCGCTGGAAAAAGGGTAAGTTTTAACCCTTTCCTCTCCCCAGAGCCGGGCGGGAGGGGGACTCTGAGGGTGGGGGCACCCTCAGGGCACTATAGTGCCAGGAAAACGAGTGTTTTCCTGGCACAATAGTGGTCCTTTAATATATCTAAAAAAACTAAACTATGAATTTCCATTTGTATCAAATATTCCTGTATTTGATACAAATGCTATTAGGAAAGAATTAAATACATTTGTGCCTTAAATGTCTCATCATAAGTATTGACTGTATATAGAATAGTAAGTATTGTATTAGTTATTTTATATGCTTAAATCTGTTTGTTTTGGTTTTTTTACTTTAAGGGATCTTCAGTGGGTTGGAAGAATATAAGTCAGCCATCTGAACATCAGAGGTAAGGTTTTTGGTGTTATCTCTGTCCTCATTTTGTTGTTCTTGGTTACCTCTGTCCACACTTTAACTGTTTTAGTTGAGATGTCAATCAATTGTTTAGGTAACTAATCACTTTTATTTTTTTTCACACATTGTTGTTATTTTAGCTCCTTTTCACTCAAAGCAAAGCAAAACAATGCTATATCCCATGTCCCTTCCACATTTCCGAAAGTGCAGTGGAAGATTTAAACATGAACGTTCAGAACACTTTCTAATGTAAGAAATGGTAGTCAATACATCGGGCTATCCTTCATTTAAAATGGGGTAATAAAATGATACCATTGTGTATTTGGACGACCATCTGTATTAATGAATTAATGACGCAAGCAAGCCCCTCATTGCAGTGGTGTAAAAGACTTGTATATATCTAGCCCTTTATTATTGCTACAATAAAGTTTTTTGTTCATGCAAAGAGAATGAAAAAGGACAAATTCTGTGACTTTTACTTGAGAAGTCAAGGCTTCAAATATTTTTGAAAGAACAATGCGTATAATTGTTAAATATGCGCTATACACAACTGGTTTTAGAGAAATTAGATTCCAAAGAAATTTGCATGAACTTGTCGTGGAAATAACCCCTTGTAATATGAAATGTATTCTGCTCTGCTGGTGTTGACATTGACCGTTTGATGACTTTATTTTTTTCCCCTTTCCTATTTAGAAAAATTGTGACATTGGAAAAAGAGGATTCAGAAACGTTTGGGTTTGAGATTCAGGTACAGTTAATAAAAAAATAGATAAAGAAGAAAATTTTAAATTTCAAGTTTCATACTTTTTTTTTTTTGTTTGTCCCTCTTCCCCTTTGTGTTGTATTGTTTGCTGGTTTACATGCAGTAATGTACATTTTTATCTTTGGGTTAACTCATACATATTTGCAAAAGGGGGAGGGTCAAATGTGCAAGCACTGCGAGCGCATTAGGTCATCCCCATAGGAAAGTATTGTATCATGGACGCTACATGTCCTCATGCAGAATGTGAGAGCGACCACAGTAGGCAAACAAAGTCGCCTAGCCACCAGGTAAGCGCCCCCTAGTGGCTGTCTGGGAGGCAATTTTAGTCCTGCAAGATAATTATTGCAATTTCTCTGGACAATTTAACATTGTAGGACAATGTGTGACGGGGCACTGCACCCAGACCACTTCAATGAGATGAAATGGTTTGGGAGCCTATAGTGTCCCTTTAATTGGGAATTAGTGTAATCATGTAGAGCAAATGTACCCCTTTTTTGGTGTGCAGTCTTCCTCTTGTCACTTTTTTGCTATACAGCCTTTTACTGCTAGCTCTGGTCAAGTCGCATTTGTCTTCCTTAAGCCTGCCCATGTTTTAAATTGATCAGCCACTGCCACTTTTTCATTCAATAATGTGGATTTACTGTTAAAGCAACTGGCTATTCTGTGCAGCAAGTTGTGGAGTAAACAAGTAAAAAAAATGCTGAGGTTTGTAGGTTTTGTAAAACTGGTTCTGTGATGGCAAGTGAGAAGATTTCAAAGCCTTAAAGGGACACTATAGTCACCAGAACAACTACAGCTTATTGAATTTGTTCTGGTGAGTAGAATCATTACCTTCATGCTTTTTGCTGTAAACACTGTCTTTTTTTTTTTTTTTTCAGAGAAAATGCAGTGTTTACATTACAGCCTAGTGATAACTTCACTGGCCACTCCTCAGATGGCTGCTACAGGTTCTTCCTCTATATATATATTGAATGGCAGTGCTGCACTGCCATTCAGTGTCTCCACCCTCTGCATGCAGACACTGAACTTTCCTCATAGAGATGCATTGATTCAGTGCATTTCTGTGAGGAGATGCTGATTGGCCAGGGCTGTGTCCTTGACAGTCTCAGCCAATCCTATGGGGAGTCATTGTGATTGGCTCAGACCACCACTTATGATGTCAGCAGATAGAGGCAGTTCACAGGCAAACAGGGGCAGAGCCAGCAGCTGCTGATTTTAATACAAGTAAGATTTTACTATAGTTAGGGAGGCAAGGGGGGACTAGATGGGGTTTATACATGTTTGTGTTCCTAATCTGATAGTGTTCCTTTAATTATTTAAAAAAAAATTATAACCCGATTATTAGTTGGCAACTAAATTGAAATTATTTAATCAAACTGGTGTGTGCTGTTGTCCTGACTAAATATTTCCTGTTTAACTTTCACACTTTGAAAAAATAGAAAATAAAATCGGGAGCTATTTTCATACAACTGCATAGGAATCATTTTGAAAACAGAAGGGGAAATAAGTGGTTAAAATGTGAAAACCCCCTTACTGGCTGCTTAATAGCACTGCCTGTAAATGCATTTTCTTTTTCACGTAGATGCAGTCGAGTCATGACTGTAAGGTTTTTGTGGGTGCTATTATTAAAACCAATATCTAGTTCGGCTTATGTTTGCTGAACAATCTCAAAGCTCAAACATCTGGTGCTGTATTTAACTTGTACGGGTTCTGGTCCTGGTTGCTAGGACATGGCCAGGTACTACCCTCTATGGAGTGTTTGGATAGTCAGATTTTTCACCGACCAGCTGCAATCGGCTCTTTGTATGTTTCCTGTGATTACAATGTCTCATAAAATGATTTTTAATGTTTACAGTGACATCGACGCCTTAAAAAAAAAAAAAAAAAAAAAATTAATAAAGGGACATTATAGGCACCAAGACCACTTCACCTCATTTAAGTAATCTGAGTGCAGTGTACCTGTCCCCTTAACCCTGCAATGTAAAACAATGCTGGACTTCCTCACGCTTTGAGTGGGGGATGTACAGAGGCACACTGTAGTGCTAGACTAGAAATATAGTTTTGTATTCCTAACACTAGTGTTCCTTTAACTCTGTTCTGCCAATCCTAATTGGTTACACTGTACACATACAATATAAACTTGGTTTACGATAAGGGAGCTATGACCCAACCCCCCTCCTATTTATTCAGTAGATTATTTTGATGATGTCACTAGGAGCAATTAAGTAGGTTTTCTTTTTAAAGCTTGTTTCTTAACTTTATCAGTATTATATTTATATCATTATTTTTTGAGGCTCAGTAAAGTAATTATAGCGAGATAAGATACAAATTGCTATTTATGTTCCTGTATAACATGCAAAAAAACACATACACCAATGAGAAACTGAAGGTAATCAAGAGGAAATAACTATTGTGCAATGGAGTCTTGGCACTGCAATAAATTGGAAGTAAAATATCTCCACCCATGTTCTTGCAGTGCGTGTCCGTTCCTCATTTTACAATGATCTTTTTACATGGCTAAAGCACTTTTTATCTTGGAGCCTCAGTACTGAAGATTGACATTGTAACTCTAAAGAGCAGCTTCCTGTTTTATATATAGTGTGCTGCAACATATTCGGTCTGTGGTGATGGTATAAAATAAACTGTGACTCTTGTCATAATTTGATGTTTCTTGTGGTAAAAAAAAAAGTTGGTTTGTTTTCAATTTTTTGTTTTTATTATCACAGGATTTTATAGTAAATGTCAGCACTTCTTGTGTTGGTTACAAAAAATCCCCTGTAATGGTGACTTGCACCGGATACGTTATGGCTGTCAGTTATCACGTTTATTCCAAGCATTGACCTCTTTTACCTTCTGTTCTTGTAAATGTTGTGTAGCATTCTCACCTTAGTACATTAGTGTGGCGTGAAACCGTACCACTTCTGTCCATCTGTCCATGTACCTGCAGGTTAATAACACCATAGGACAGATAGCGGTTGAGAGTGGATGAAAAATGCAATTTTACTGTGGCATAAATCCGTGTTCTAGCTAGTATACACTGTTCCTACACTGGTAACAAGATTAATTCGACATTATTTCCCATTTTTAAAGCTCATGTCTAAGCATCTTATGTTGGAATGTCCTGATAACATTCTTTTTACATTTATTTTTTTAAAGACTTATGGATTGCATCATCAAGACAAGAATGCAGTTGAGATGTTTACTTTTGTATGTCGGGTACATGATGGAAGTCCAGCTCAGTTGTGCGGCCTCAAAGTTGGTAAGTCTGCTTTTGCCAACCATTAGTTCTAGATTGGCTTGAATCTATAATTGGATATATATCAATTAATATTTCTGGGCTGTATTAGGTATTGTGATCTGCAAGCGTCATTAATTGATAGTTCTGCCAGCCTCACCAGGAAGCCATTAAATATGATGTTACTGTAACTGTCGAATTTTACCTTCTATTGTTCCATTTAAAAATGAAATGGGTCAGAACGATGGTTTACTTGGAAAATATAATTTCCTGCTTAAGAAACACTTCCTGTTACAGAAATATCTCTGAAATGTTCATAAACCACAAAAACAAATGTTTCTTTGCCAATCTTTATCAGTGCAAAGCTCTGTATTTTGCATGTCTGTCTTAACCACCAGTTAGTTTGACAGGCAACACTTTTTTTTTAGCTTTGTCAGCAACTTTTACCAGAGAATTTCACTGTCAGCACCTTTTTAGTTTCCCTGAATGCTAACCTATTGATGTCACTTTTAGGTTGTTTTCTTGACAATGAGACATATGCTAACTTTTTTGGATGTTTTACAAATATCCATTATGGTTTCACCAGAAATGATCAGATACACATCCCTCCTCAACCCCCACCGACTCACTCTCGCTATGCTTTTTGGCTTTCATTTGATTGATGTTAAAGAATTTGTCTACGGTTGGATTCATAGGAGTTTTTATTATGGCACACAAGGCGTTAAATACAAAGATATTGGAATACTAACAATGAACACAGTTACAATTGGGCAAGTATCTTGTGGTGCAGTCACTATTTCGAATGGATGCTATGGCAAATACACGAGTATCACTCAAAACCTAAGCAGGGAAAAAAAATATCCCTATTTGCTAATATCCCTAGAATATAAACTCGTTTGAGCAGGGCACTCAACACTGTGCGTCCAACTTGTCTTATTGCAAATACTTGTCAGCCCACCTATTGTAGAATTTGTTGGCACTTTATAAAAAAAATACTTAAAAAAATTATGTATGTGTTTGATTCCTCATTTTCATGTCATACAGTTGTTCACCATTATTCCTCGCTATTCATATATCCTGGTTTAGTAGACAGGCTGTCATGTCTCAATGTGTTTAGATTTTGTTTGAAGATAGGCTTTTCCACAGTTTAAGGAAGGTGTATTCACTAATCATAGAGAAACATGGCATCCGAATTGCAAAATATTGGTTAGAGTTACAGATCTGGAGGCTTCCCCCATCCCATATGTTTAACATTTTAGTTGTCAAATTGCAGCAATTCACATTTTAGAACAGAGAATTTGCTCAATACTCTGAATGCTGTTAATCAGTTACTGTGTCACAGTGAAGATTTCCTTTAAGTGATCTTGGACAGGTATGTTATTTTAGACCTTAGCTCCTGGAAGGAGACAGCAGTCTCTAAACATGGACTTTTGGAACCATTATACTGCTGCTGCAGCTGTAGTCTAAAGATGCAAGAACATGTTGTGTCTAAAACTTAATCCTGCCTGTTATGTTTTGTATTTTGTACTGATCAAAGGTTCCTTCAATCTGTTTGAATTACTATTTTTTAAGCATATAATCTTCCATCCATAGCCAGTGTTTGTTTGGCTAAAAATGTGTTCCTTTGAACAGTATTGTGTTAATGTGAAACGCATGTAAGGGGAACTTTCCCCCCCCCCCCCCTTCTATTGGAGTCCCTGTTGCCTTTCCACATTATACAACATGTTCTGAGCAGGAAATGAGTCACTCCAGCAAAGGATTTGGAAAGAGTCTCCAATTGTGTCCGTGCAGGATTGGATAGAGTATAAAATAATGTTCCCACTTTTACGTTAAGTTGCCAAATGTTTGCAGAGTTCAGGAAATTCAATGAAGTATTCAGGCAGTTTCATTTTATCCCTCGAACTCTTATCTCCCACTGTATTGGTGAAAGTGGTCTGGATGGGGGGAGTAGAGAATCACTGAGGACTGAGCAGGAGAAGTACACCTTTTATTTTAGAGCTCAAACATGTGCTGTGCATTGCAGAACAAACTTGGCACTCACTTTACTGGTCCTGCTTGGACAAGTATGGTCTGAACATGAACATTTCATTTGTACGGCAATTTTGACGCGCCTTAAGATTTTAGAGTTACAGTGGCCTCTTTTTGCTGACAAACCGTGACTTTATAAAATATATAACACCTCTTAATTTGTCAAGTGAATAAACATAACTGTAAAGCGCTGCGGACTCTATTGGCGTTATATATATATATGTCCCCCAAAAAAACCTGATTGATCTTATTGTAAGGTGATTTATATTAATGCATAATGTAACTTATTTTTTTTTTTAGGTGATATAATTGCTGGTGTTAATGGCCTCAATGTGGATGGAATTAGACACAGAGATATTGTAGAGTTGATCAAGGCTTCTGGGAACACAATCAGGTAAATTAAATAGATTTTTAGATACCAGCTTCCCACTTGGTAGCAAAATCCGCAGTCTCAGAGTTCATTCTGAGGGTTCTCCTTCATGAAATCTGCTCATTAACGCAATTTTGCTGTCTGCGCATGAATCTGGCCTATATTCAAAGGTGTTGTTTTTTGGTTTTTTTTGTCCTGCCATTATATTTACTTGTATATCACCATTTGTCAAAAAGACCAAACCAAATAGAGGATGCAGCACAATTTCTAAAGATGGCACACTTCCCAAGTTTAACTAGAAAGTTATCCAGTTGATTCCTTTGTGAAGCTTGTAATCTTTCCTACTAAAATGACATCCACTGTAAAGTTCCTGTGTAAACTTGCACTGTCTTATATTGAGTTGTCGATTGTCTTGTCAGATTGGAGACAGTTTATGGATCTGCTATCCGGAGAGCCGAATTGGAGGCACGGCTACAATATCTGAAGGTCAGTGGTGTGTGTGTTTCTCAGCTCATCTGAAGTACTGGAGTGCTTGTTATACTGTGAGTTGGGCATATTTAAGTCTGTCTGTTGGTGTCCTGTAATCTTTGCTTGAGTTGTGTAGACCAGTTTCCCAGTCTGAGAAGTGCTTTGGGGGGGGGGGGGAGTACTTTAATTCCAATTTTAGTTTTCTAATTTACTTTGAGGCTTCATTAAGTTCTGTAAATACTGTTAACAACTTTTATCAGCAGTACTTGGATTTAAAAATCTGTGGTTAGTGCCTTGAAAACTTTTTGAACACTGGTGTAGTCAACCCTTTTGTGGATACTGTTTAGTCATATCTTTATATTTGATCAATCTGCCTCAATACAAACGGTCTCATATGTCCCATACTTGAATACATTTTTTTTTTTTTTTTGCAGCAAACGTTGTATGAAAAATGGGAAGAATATCGGTCACTTATGGTCCAGGAACAGAGATTGCTCCATGGTAAGTGCAACTTCTGTCAAACTTATATTCTGAAGCAGAGCTTTAAGTCCTCCAGAATTTAATTATCTAGGTACACCGACCCAACAGAGTCCATCTTATTTGTTTACTCATGTAGTGCATTGTGAGTTTATGAAATGGTGGTTGAGCTTGTGTGCAACTTTCCTGTTCCTTAATAAAATGTCACACACTCCCCCTAGCTCACTGACTTCATGTGAACTCAATACTCTCTAACCCACAAGTATAAGTTGTGAATAGGTACATGCACACAAAGAAATCCTTATTGACTGTGTTTGGCGGTCTTGTAGATCATCTTGCTTTTACCAATGAAAACACATTAATGGGCTGTCCTATGTATGTTAGCGTGCACAGTTGTTTCATTCATGTTTACTAATGAATAAAGCTCCTAGAAGGTGCAGAATAATTATATAGAAGTGTTTTTCGAAGGAACTTGACACCCGGAACATTGATGTCCATAATGTGCTGAGCTTGTTCTTGTAGAGTGTGCAAACTGGCAGGAATATTTAAAGTAAAGCTCCCATTGCTAATCAAATGGTGGTGAAACAGATGTACGTTTTAATGTAAACTAGCTTTGGGTTACTTTTATTATTTTGCAAGTTGCATGCTAATTACTTCCGGTTTTAAGATATATTCAATTTTTCACTTATGCTCGTTATGTTCTCATAAACGTGTTCTGCATTTTAGGACCCTGTCATTGTTTTTTCTATTGACAATAACGTCCTTAAAGGGATTACTTCCTTTTAATCTGGCCCTAATGTTGTCCATGTTCTGCATTTTGTTTTGCCAGAAGATGAGGAAGTTGTCCATAAAGCACAGAACGATCCTCCCTACATCTGCTTTCTTCTTCCTTTACAGCGCATTGTTTACATAATGTTTTGTTTCTGTGGATTCTCTTGTGTAGCATTAATAACTGCACTCCAAAAGCCATTACATCAGTTCATATGTGCACAGAATTACAGATTACTGCCTATTGTAACAGAGGGTTCCGTGCACAGTTTGACTTTGTGAAATGTATTATACTGGTTGTAATGGGGCTCATGTGGGGTAAACACTGATTTGGTCACTTATACGTTTTTGTAGAGCCTATAAGTAATAGCAAAAATTAAAACACAAGTTTTTTTTAAAATAAATTTTCCCTGTTGCAGGGACCCTCTCTGCCACTCTTGAGGCTGTCTGACACCTTGGGAAATGTAGTACGCAAACATCACGGCTTTTAAGTATTCAACACTACTGCAGATATTCTGAGAGCATAAACACTGATTTTCTTGTCTGAGTGGGTTCTTAAGGCAGGTCTCTCTGCAGCCAATATTTTCACTACAGTTCCCGTGATCTGGAAAAACCTTCCTTCAGTAGTTTAGTAATAACTTCCTCCACCCTTAGCTGCGATTAATTGTAGAAGGTGTGTGGACCAAATATGGCCAACCTCTTAGTTTATGTATAGCTAATGGATATAATTGCAACTGGGGGCATGTCACCATCAATGCATATAATGTACTTAATGCCTTTCATATTTTCTTTTCTAGGTATAGTTGTGAAGGATCCCAGTGTGTATGACACTCTAGAATCGGTGCGTTCTTACATATATGGAACTGTTCCTGTGTCTGGGAAGGACCCCCTTAATGGCTCTCTTGCAGCTGGGAGTATGTGTAGCAGTGCTAGCTGCCTCAGCCACACAGACGACAATGAAGAAGCAGTATATCAGACATGTTATTTCACCTCAGACTCCACCGATGAGATAAATGGTCTTGGCAGCAAAAGCAACGGCAAGCCTTACAAGTCAACACTTACTCGCAGCTCTAGTGTGAAGTGTGGAACCTCTGGAACAACCTGGGACAAGCCAAAAGAACAGAATAACTTTGCGTCCCTTCCCAGGAAAAAGCACAAAAGTTTTCGGAAAAGACTTTTGAAGTTTATACCAGGACTAAACAGATCTTTAGAAGAGGAGGCCAGTCCTCTTTAACATAACATTATAAAAGAGGTTAAGTTATTTATTTATTGTTCCCTGTTTAGTTTTTTTGTAAAAAGAGTGAAAAGCCATGTAGTTCTTTTGTTAGGCTTTATTGTAATATGTTGTGTTTGGGCAGTTTACCAGAAAATAAATGTTTGGCAAGGCAATGGTTGCCAAACTCCAGATTTTTCTATGAAAAATGCAGTTTATTCTGATGTTTTCAAGTGTTCAAAGGCTCACACAGGAGTTTTCCTGCCAGCAGGTTTAGTGAGCAGTCTGATTATTTTTCAAGGCAATGCTGGATTTTGCCTAATATAGAATTACTCCCAAGGTCTGCAGTTGATTAGAACTTGGGGTCTATACCAATGTATGCTAACCTATGCCATTCCTGCTGCTGAAGACAGTTACCCATAATGCCCAGCCAGCTTTAGTGGCACAGGCCAAAGTCAGATACCCAATTGTTTTTCAAACTACAACTCCATTGATGTTTTGCAGCTTTATGGCTGACAAGGCATTGTGGTAGTCATAGTTGCACTTTTGGCCACTCCTGGTCTATAGTAATCCTCTCTTCTGTACCATAGGTGCCTTCACTCTGTTTATGCCAGGGGGATGTAACTGGAGACTTAATGTATTGTGTATTTATTCTCTTTATGATCCAGCCAATGCTGTGATACAAACCAGCTCGGTCTAGGGAGAGTGGGTGTTCTTTCTTTGCTTTTCTAGATTATAGTCTGGCAAGTGTTCACTCTGACTTTAGCAGCATTGTTGAAAGTGAATGCCCCCATTTAGTTTTCATGTTGCACATATATAATATACTGAATTGCTTAGGCAAACTAGGAGTCATGCAACATGGTCGATGGCAGTGATTTTTCTTTTAAAGTGAAGCAAAGATTTTGGCAATCACCCCAAAACCTCACATCCATAGACATAAACAAAATTGCTTGCAGTCTGTCTTTTTAAGTCGGTGAGCATCTTCAAATATTTTTTTTCTGTAGATTGCATTTAGCGTGGAACAGGCTTTCTTCCCAGGCCTTAACAATATATTGTAAATCCTTCCAACTGAAATATTTTACATTAATTGGGTATAAGAGGAAGTGATTATATTGTAGGAACACGTCGCCACATTTTCAGTAACTACCATTCATGCTATCTGTTCATTTTGACCCAAAGTTAAATGTGCACACCAGCCAGATGTGCCAGTTCTTGCTAGACCATATACATTTGAGCCATTTGTCAACGGCAAGGCACACCCATGGTTTAATATGCTTTTCATAAATATTGCTGGCAGGGCTATATCTGTTCCCTGTATGGTCTTTACTTTGTATGGCCCATATTTTATTGCATTGTCTGTGTATTCATATCAGTATAGCAGCTGTGCAGATGACATCTGGCAATGCTGAATTGTAATTCTGCATGTTTGTTGTAGGACAGGTTTGCTCCAACTGTAAAAAGACGCCATGCCTTTGGCACACCCAGCATGAATGTCTTAAGCTATATCCTGAACGCCACATTAAATAAATACAGTCCATCCATGTTCCGAAGTTATTTAAAAATACTTTTCCTGAAAAATGGGATAACAAATGACTTGTCCCTAGTTCACACTTTTCCCTAGTGTTATGGCTGCAATAGAGTTTTAATGTTTAATTTTAGGACTCTGCACCCCTCCTCCCCCCAACGTAAGTTGTGCCGTATCATTTTATATTACAGAAGAAATGTATTTGGAGAAAATTAAATCGCCCCAAACGTTTAAATCACTTTTATTGCAAAACTGTGAAGCACTCCTGCAGACTTTACCTCGTATATACACTCCATATTGACCTTTTTATGTTTATTACAATCCTGTAAAGTGTTTCTTGTTGCTCCAAATGCAAAGAACATTAATGGGGCACTCCTAAATTCCTATATACCCAGGCATTTGTGGTTTTGCTTTCATGGGAGGAATGTCCGTCATTCTGTGCATGCGGATTGCTCCCATGTGTGGATGCAGCTATTGCGGACCTCCTTTGACACAAGACAATATGCCAGTCAGTAATGTTCTGGCAGGCAGGAGCACCATATGTAGAACAAATGTTAAAGCGTATTAAGGCGAAACAGCAGCTCTATCTGAGAAGTCCACATTCCAGCTTCCCCAGGAAAACTCTACAGCTGTGACAAACTATGTGCAGAAGTCATCCTTAAGGAAGAGGGCCTACGGTGTTTTAAGTTTTATCATGGGAAACCTCTGCCTTCTTTTCTTTACTGGATTTGTTGAGCAATTGTGTTTTTTTGTTTTTTTTGGCTTGCACTTAAAAATCCATTAAATAAACAGCCATTTTATTGGCCCCAAATCAGCACATTCGGATATGATAAACAGATGGCTTTTTAACTATTCAAATAGTTGTCTGAGCACAATTAGAAAGGTCACAGGCTTCTGTACCAGTTCCAACCACTGTGTGCAATTGCTCTTATCTAAACCTCTGTCACCGACATAGACCTGTGACATTTCTGTGATTTGGATTTTTTTATTTTTCTTCTGGTAAAATATATCTTTTGGATCTTGTCATAGATATTTTTATATAAATCGCATAACTAAATACACAGCGTAGGTTTTTAGAATTCATCACCATTGAAGTGCTCTAATGCCAGGATTTTGGTCTGTGTTGGAATAAAGGTGCCAAACTGTGTCAAAATAATGTTACATTTATATAGAATTCATCATCTTGCAAAAAAGCTGTCGTTCAGTCATTGTGGAACATATCCCCAATGCATTTTATGCCTGAGACATTTCACGTGCAGTCTAAGAACTTGAGTTTCAAATGAAGCATTGAAACTTTTGTAAATGATTTTTTGGGTGAAGATCTCCACAATCAAGCTGAGTGATGTTTTGGTTGATATGGTGTGTTCTGTAGATGGTATTTTTCTCCTTACATGCTATACAGTAAGGGGCTTATGTTAGAGCCCGTTAATGGTTAAATAGAAATTGTTTGTATCTTGGTATGTGATGGGGTGTCTGCTTTCTACTTTGTCATGTTAAGCTTAAAAGAATATTCTGCCTAACCATAAATCTATGAAAAACTGAAGCATGTGTAGTCTTATACCCCACGGAAAGCCTCCAAGAAGATGCTAGCTCTCTGAGAACTCGTAGTTCAATTACGGAGACCTCCACACCACATGAGAATGCAGAGGAAATTGCTAAAAAGTCTAAATATTTAGTCACGTTACGACTGATGGTACAGAGTGAATGGGACTACAAAGGATATGTGTAATGGAACATTTCAATAAAGCTGTGCCATGAACTTTGTTAAAGATATTTGTACCCGTTCATTTCATTGTTTCATTTTCATGACTAGGAAGGCTCCTCATGCCTATATTATAGGGTTATTTACGAACACCTGCTGAAAGACTGATAAAAAAAAGCAAACTTTTTTAAAATGTCATTGCCTTGGTTGTATTGGCCTAAAACATTCTGGTCATGAGTTTTTTACAGTTACAGATCTGTTAGAAGAAATCTACTGTGAGATTCACACATAGCCGGTATGTGAAAAGCCTTCCGGAAGAGGGTTTACAAATATAGATTCTAGAATTGTCTGGTCATTTGACTGGTAAATCTTCCACACAATGTTAAATTCAAAGTAACTATTTGTTCTTGGAATTTTCTTATTGTATTTTTTTCAAATCTTGTAAGTTATGACTTATGGGTGCATAAATAACTTTTGGCCTTTGTACTGTTGAAATTGTGATAATATAAGATTGCTATTTTAAGCTACTTGTCAAAATTGTCTCTTATTTGAAATATCTCCACGTAGACTTTGTGTTAACGCTTCAGTTTCATAATTGTAAATCTGAGTGTGTTTCACAAAGTATTGTTGTGAATCTATTTTATTGTATATTAACTCACTAGCTTTTCAAGAACAGGAAAGGTGCTTTGGGTACACAACCAGATCTTGGTAATGATTCGCTGGTTACATAGTACAACTAACATAAGAGGATATACAATGGGTTAGTGCAGATTGATAAAGACTGCAGTATAATTTATTTATATTTAAAATGACAACCGTGAAGGTAGGAAGATTATACATTTTGAAGAAAGATCGTGGCCTACTGATAACTTCTTATGGAACGGAGTGCATTGTATAAAACCTTTCATGTAGAAGTCAATTTCTAAAATTTATGCACAATACATTTGGACCGCTGATTTATTGCTGTAGAACTGTTAAGGTAACTTGTTTGTTTTACTAGAATAGAGAACACATGAAACTGGGACAGGGAGAGAAGTTTCAAAGAGGGGACAGTCGCTTCTAAAAGGGAATCTTCCTGGTGCTATCCCAAGGGATATTGGACATATACCTATTTTTTTTAAATTTTTTAATTTAATAAGGTTCTTCCCCATCAGGTCTCAAATATTCTGTAAATGTCTCATGACACACGAGTAGCTTTTGGGAATTTGAATTGCATTCAATTCCACACACCCAGCAAAATACTGGGTGAGATTTACAAAAGTGTTGCTAACAGAACACTAGAGAAATCACTGGATACCGAGGAAATATTCCTGTTGAGTCCACTGTTTCCATAGTAATACCTCCACTATTAAAGCTTTGCACCATTTCTATGTTTACAACACTTTCATAAATCCTCCTAGCGTACACATACAGGTATATATGTAAACTATTTTCTTCTTAATAGCTTCGTGATATTTTACCAGTGACTTATAACTCTTTATTTAAAGGCCAACAAGGACAATTGTCTAAAGCATTTAGGAAACACTGGACGGTTACTAAATAATTTAGCATTGCGTGCAGTGAATTAGCAAAGCAATTAATGCGGATTCAAACTTGTACCATAGGGGAAAAATAGACCCGTAGAATTACTTTTTATGTTTAATATTTAATGGTGAAAACCACGATTTTACACAAACCACAGCTCTCCTGCACTTGCTGATTAGACCTTGCAGGGCTTGGAAACGAGAAATGAAACTATCACAAGATGCCTGATTAAAGGAAGTGGAAAATGGTCGTAACCACAAAGGCATCACAAATGCAGCAAAGCACAAAGGGCTTGCATGTCACCAATCAGGCATTTATGAGGTGGGCTGCTTTACATTGCAAATGGCTGTGAATGAATATATGCTCTAACTGCTCCATCTATTGTGCCCAGAAAGAGGAAGCTTAAAGAAAGCAGAAATCAAGATAGACTGCATATTTTGGTAGCTGTAAGGAAACCAGCCTTTCATCACAGATAGGCTATCACACTTTTACAGACAAAACCGCTGGTTACACATGCGTTATGATGTAGGAAATAACAGAAGTTTAACTGTTTAAGACTGGATAGCAATCACTACACTGATGTTTATTCATTAGACACTAAATTGTAGTAACAGCACAATTAACATTAAAATAGCCAAGCTGCGACTATGGCTCTGTTATAGAATTGGCCATTTTTGCTTTAACTCTCTAGTAAATGCATCATGTACAGTAGCATGTGCCCATAGCTCGCAAAGATAAAACAATGGGAACTAAACTATTTGCTATTAACCTTTTTAGCTAGTATTGAGTTTTTGTTTTGGGTTTGTTTTTGTTTTTTTGGTCTCTATCCATCTTTTGCTATTTTTCTAAATGTATCGTATTACTCTGCCCAAACAAATTCACGTGCAGCTTTTTAGGGATCTCCCCCCATCTTTACCACTAAAATCTGGAGTGGAGCATTTGTTTTCAGCACGACTATTTTGTACTAATATTTTTAAACTATTTTGCAATTTTCAATAATTCTCTTGAATTTAATTAGTAATTTGATATGTGTGGTGGACGGCAGTGAATTGAATCAAACCTCGGCTTTGGTTTCTGTACACGTTAATTCCACTTACAAGTAGTGAGACAAGGTAAGAGCTAGTGGGCAAAGAATTATTTCAGTTCATGGCATAAAAAAAAAAAAGATATTGGTTGGTGTGATGCATTTTTTGTATGTTTGTGCTGAAAGTAATTTTGATACTCTTTTTAACTGCTTTGGTTGTTTCCACCTTTTGGATATGATCTTAGTCTTCTCCATTTGCTATCTTACAGTGCAATATATTAATATAGTCTATAATAAAATAAATTATTATAGACATGTAAGAACACTATTGGATCCTGCATTCCGTTGACCGTTTTAGTGGGAGAGGAGCTAAGGAAACAATTTGTCTCCCCAGTTCCTCTGTCAGTGTTTTTTTCTATCAGGAATGGAGCTGAATTAAATTCAGTGGCTGAAGCTGAAATATTACCTAGGGTTATCTAAGGTACCCTAATAGCCAGACCAAACTAAATATACAGTCCTGTAGAGCGAGTGGCTGTCCTAAGGGCGAGGTAGATTTGGAAAAGCGCGTCACTTGCGTGGTGACCTGAAAAAAACGTGAATGTGAAAACAAAGAAAACCCAATTTGACTAAACAGATATTCAACTGGAAGATTGACAAAACGAGTAGCTTATGAAGGCTAGGACTTGACAGTAAGTGAATAGAAAAGTTAAGGGCAAAAGGTGGACAGAGGTTTTGTAAACCCAAATGTAACTTGAGAATTGAGTGTTCATAATTAAATTAAGAACTATGTTACTAACACACTGAAATTGTGGCAGAGTAATTGCCTTTAGGCAAAGAAAGTAAAATGAGCCCAAAATGATTAAAATACTCTAGTGCAGCGTTTCCCAATTGGTGTTCCACCGCGATTTTACCATCGGGTGGCCCATGCACATAGGCCGATCGGTATCGCTGAACGAGGGCCTGGTCAGACGCCATGGGCGTTGAAGAGTGAAATTGAGCCCCTGTAGTGTGGGATGCTGGGAGAAATTGACCGCATGTCACTTCCTCCCAGGCACCAAGCGGGACGGGAGAGAAGGGAGAGAGCTGCACTCGAAGCAAGCCACCCTCCTACAGATAAAAGGTAACCTTACAGGAGGGTGACTGCAAATATAAACATTATGACCTGTGTGTGTCTGTATGTCAATGTGCATCTGTCAATTTGTGTAACTGTGTGCCAGTGTGTTTTTTTTTTTTTTTTTTTGTATCTGTTAATGTCTGTGTTGTGGTGTCAGTGTGTATCTTTGTGCCAATGGGTGTATCTGTTTGTTAATGTGTATGTATATATGTGTAAGTATGTGGGCAGTGCATGTGCAGGTATCCCAGCAACCAAACACCAACTCAACACACACTCCTACAAACATAACATACAAAGACAGCCCTGAACTCAAACTCTAAAATTATATACAAACACACCTCTGCACTCAAATGCAAACATTACATACAAACACATCCCTGTATTACAATGCTAAAATTATATACAAACACAAACTCTACACACAGAAACACACCTGTTCCTAATTACTACAATCTGTTTACTATCTTTGTATGTATAGCAAAAAACTAAATTTGCCAAAAAAAGAATACATTAGGCTCTGCTAATTGAAAAGTTTATGCTACGGTGCAAATTTGGTGGGGGGGGGTTGTTCTACAGTGTTAATACACTATGTCAAAGGGTTCCACGGAAAAATTAATTGGGAACCCCTGCTCTAGTGATACCTGTTACTAAAAGAATATTGAGGAAAATTGATCAGCATATTAAATTATCTAGTTTACAATGTATGCTAAAAATGCTCCAGATATTTAAATGCCGACATAAAGTATACAGGGTGAGACGTGATATACTGATCGATTCCTAGCATAAATACGGTTGCAAGAAAAAAAGCATGTGAACCCTTTGGAATGATATGGATTTCTGCACACATTGGTCATAAAATGTGATCTGATCATCATCTAAGTTACAACAATAGACAATCACAGTCTGCTTAAACTAATAACACACAAAGAATGAAATGTTGACATGTTTTTATTGAACATACCATGTAAACATTCACAGTGCAGGTGGAAAAAGTATGTGAACCCTTGGATTTAATAACTGGTTGAACCTCCTTTGGCAGCAATAATTTCAACCAATTGTTTCCTGTAGTTGCAGATCAGACGTGCACAACGGTCAGGAGTAATTCTTGACAGAACTGTTTCAGTTCAGCAATATTCTTGGGATGTCTGGTGTGAATCGCTTTCTTGAGGTCATGCCACAGCAGCTCAATCGGGTTGAGGTGAGGACTCTGACTGGGCCACTTCAGAAGGCGTATTTTCTTCTGTTGAAGCCATTCTGTTGTTGATTTACTTCTATGCTTTGGGTCATTGTCCTGTTGCAACACCCATCTTCTGTTGAGCTTCAGCTGGTAGACGGATGGCCTTAAGTTCTGCAAAATGTCTTGATAAACTTGGGAATTAATTTTTCCTTCGATGATAGCAATCTGTCCAGGCCCTGACGCAGCAAAGCAGCCCCAAACCATGATGCCCCCACCACCATACTTCACAGTTGGGATGAGGTTTTTGATGTTGGTGTGCTGTGCCTTTTTTTCGCCACACGTAGTGTTGTGTGTTTCTTCCAAACAACTCAACTTTGGTTTCATCTGTCCACAGAATATTTTGCCAGTACTGCTGTGGAACATCCAGGTGCTCTTCTGCAAACTGTAAACGTGCAGCAATATTTTGTTTGGACAGCAGTGGCTTCCTCTGTGGTATCCTCCCATGAAATCCATTCTTGTTTAGTGTTTTACGTATTGTAGATTCGCTAACAGGAATGTTAGCATTTGCCAGTGACTTTTGTAAGTCTTTAGCTGACACTCTAGGATTCTTCTTCACCTCATTGAGCAGTCTGCACTGTGCTCTTGCAGTCATCTTTACAGGATGGCCACTCCTAGGGAGAGTAGCAGCAGTGCTGAACTTTCTCCATTTATAGACAATTTGTCTTACCGTGGACTGATGAACAGCAAGGCTTTTGGAGATACTTTTATAACCCTTTCCAGCTTTATGCAAGGCAACAATTCTTAATCGTAGGTCTTCTGAGAGCTCTTTTGTGCGCAAAATCATTCACATCAGGCAATGCTTCTTGTGAAAAGCAAACCCAGAACTGGTGTGTGTTTTTTATAGGGCAGGGCAGCTGTAACCAACACCTCCAATCTCATCTCATTGATTGGACTCCAGTTGGCTCTTGGAGATGTCATTAGTCTAGGGGTTCACATACTTTTTCCACCTGCACTGTGAATGTTTACATCGTGTGTTCAATAAAAACATGGCAACATTTAATTCTTTGTGTGTTATTAGTTTAAGCAGACTGTGATTGTCTATTGTTGTGACTTGATGATGATCAGATCACATTTTATGACCAATTTGTGCATATCATTCCAAAGGGTTCACATACTTTTTCTTGCAACTGTAGATACATGTGAGGTATCACAATCCCTGTAACTTGCATACAAAGAAGTGAGGGTACAGAACACAAAATATCAACTTGTGGACAACAAGACACATGTTTGGAACGACTGGATGTTGTCACGTAGGCTGAATGTACTGAATCAGAGTGAATATGTAGTGTGACAAAATGTACTGGACTACAGTGAATATGCAGTGTGGCCGAATGAACTGTACCAGAGTAAATATGTAGCTCAGCCAAACATAGGACAAATATACTGAACCACAGTGAATATGTAGTTTGGCCGAATGTACAATGTCAAAGAGAAAAGAACTGGGGGAGGTTGACTGCAGGTCAGGCTCCCAACTCATGGAACGGATTCTCCTCCACCGAGGCTGGAACACTTTCCTAAGCTGGGAAGCCTGCAAATTGGTGTGTGGTAACCTAGCAACCAGGTTCCAATCATCAACAGATCGGCAGAACATCAGGAGGTAGCTGGGAGAGGGACAAAACCCCTTTCACAAAGACAGGCATACTGCCTTTACATATATGAAGTAATGCAGTTCAACACTACTTAGTGACTAAAACTACATTTATATTTTTCCCCCCTTTTTTTATTTCTCTAAAATGATGTCACTACACCGAAATACCAACCTCCATCTATGAGATGCTTATGGCAAATTATGTCAAATGTCTAAGCGTTTCTTTGAAACCTCCTGTAAAAACAAACATATATTTTTGTATCAGTAGCAACCCCACCATAACACGGGTGCTGTGTTTCACTTGATTTGCATGTTATGTGGGGGCACGTATGATTCATCATTATAATGTAGAAACATTTACATTCAAGACAAATTCCTATTCTATTTCAGTATTGAAATGGGGTTTTCTAAATTTAAAAGGGCAAGTGTTATATGGTATCAACACACCTAAGGATTTCCTAGAGGGAAAGAAACCAACATAAATGTACATTTTTCATTATGAGTATAGTACTTGATAAGTATTTCTGAGAAACTGCTTTCATGAAAAACCTTAGCAATATGACCTGTTTCCTGTAAACCCAATGCAGACATGTAAAACGTAAAAAAAAAAGTAGTGAAACATCACACCTCAAAGAATTCTTAATCTTTCTTTTCTCACTTATTTCCAATTCACACCATCCAATAAATAAATTCCAAATGATCATATTTAGAGTGGATAGCTCTCCAAAATAATTTGTAAAAATTTGTGTTAAAGGGAAACTCCAGTGCCAGGAAAACAATCCGTTTTCCTGGCACTGAAGGTCCCCTCTCCCTCCCACCCCCCATCCCCGGTTGCTGAAGGGGTGAAAACCCCTTCAGGTCACTTACCTGAGACCCCGCCAATGTCCCTCGGCGGTGGTTTCTTCTCGCCGCCGCTCCTCCCAGTCGTTACGTCGGCCAGCGGGCGAGACTGAAACCCAGCCCACCGGCCGGGAAGACCTAATTCGCATTAGAGCTCCCCATAGGAAAGCATTGAAAATGCTTTCCTATGGGGAATTGAGCAACGCTAGAGGTCCTCACACAGCGTGAGGACGTCCAGCGACGCTCTAGCACAGGTTTTCTGTGCTATAGAGCAGGAAGTGCCCTTTAGTGGCTGTCTAGTAGACAGCCACTAGAGGTGGAGTTAACCCTGCAAGGTAATTATTGCAGTTTATAAAAAACTGCAATAATTACACTTGCAGGGTTAAGGGTAGTGGGAGTTGGCACCCAGACCACTCCAATGGGCAGAAGTGGTCTGGGTGCATGGAGTGTCCCTTTAATTTAATATGTTTATGTTAAGTCCAGACTCAGGGGTGTATTGGTGACCGTGCCATACATCTACTGGGCACACAGTATCTATCAAACCTGGAGTTGTGTGGTTTACGTTATTTAGAACTTTCTTGGCTTGCAACCTACATTTCATCTCGCTGTAGATTGCTGTGCCCACTTATCAACATAGCAAAAACTCATAAATAGGATTGTTTTTATCCAGTCTGAAAAATACCTTTTCTGGTCGAAACGTTGCTGCACACTTGATTTCAATAAATTTGCCTATTTATACTCTGTAGTGCCTGGATGATTGTCAGCAAGGTGTTTTACAGATTAAATTAACAAAGCTATATATATATTTTTTATTACTATATTTTATCAATCGAGTTTTCCTTCTTGGAGAGGAAGTACTAAATATAAAGCTCATACAGACACGGTTTATTGAAGCAGGGTATGTGTAGGTGTTTATTTTCCTTTAAGAAATCATTTGGCAGTTCAGTTACACATGTCAGATTGATTGCGATACAGCAGAGATGTAAGTCTAAAAGTGACACGAAAACAAAAGAAGACAGATCCACCTGCAAATACTGTTTAAGCCATAGTCATCTCGTCCGTCACATCGCTGAATGTTTTCCACACACATTAAGCTGCTCAAACACATGTACAGTCAATAACTGGTGGGCAGAGATGAGACATTGTCAAAGAGACCAGGCGACGTTTACATCAATAGTGCTATGTGGCCACATTTCTTTCGGTTTACATATGAGCGTGTTTGAGATAGTCTATAGAGACACTGTGTGGGTAGACGTTTTGTCATCATATATAACTTAAAGAACTACTGTCCCCATATTGTAGAACATTTTAAGTGTGACAGATTTTTAAAAAAAATTTTTATTCTATCGAAAGGATTCAGATTAAAGTGCAGTTTTTCTGGGTCATACAGTTCAAAGCTGACTTCTTTACATTCTTTTTTTTTTTTTTGCAATAGTTAGTGTAGATTAATTAGCAGTTTACAGGAAATTAAGATGTAGGAATAAAAGATGGGATTACGGAGAACTTGGACTGGGATGTGAACACGGATTTGATTAAGAGGCTTTAACTTATTTTTTTGTTAGCCCAGGATGCCATCCGATTATTTATGGGGGTCTTCATAAGGCGAGGAGACTTCATATATGCAGCAATAGTAGGAAGAGCCTCAAACCGGTTCAGAAAGTCGACTTCTTTACATTCTAAACTAATTAACCCCTGAAGTAGCACACTAACCAGCACAATCTGGAAAAAAACAAAAACAAGAAGCAGAAGTACTGGCGCTTACAGGATCATGGAAAATAATCAAATTGAACACAAAAAGCACAGTCAGCATGTAAAATAAGAATTGGTCAATAGTTTAATGTGCACATTGATGTTGAGGTACAGAAACATAAAATGTATGAAATTAACAGATACAATACATGTCTTTTGTAGATCATGAATAAAAGGAGGAGAAGAGAGAAAGAGATTGACAGGTTGACTATCATATTCCTTTTTTTGAAAATAAAATGCAGGGCTTCTGGTTCCGCCGCCATCTTAGCTGGCCACATTTTGCCATCAGACAGGAGGCGCGCACACACACACACACACACACATCCTTCACACTTTGCTGCCCACAAACCTCACCCGTCACACAGAATCTTACCGACTCCCTTGTTTATCCTGACCTCAACCATGAATATTCACAACACTGAATATTTGAAACTACCTAGGAGAAAAACAGCAATTATTTTATTGGCAACTGTTAAGGTAGCAGTTTCAACCTGCATTTTTCTATATTAATACCTGTTCTGGCAAAGAAGAAAAGCCATACAGAATATAACCACTCTATGCAATCAAACTAGAAAACCTACTAAACAGTGTACCCCCAAACACTATATAAAAACATATATAAAACATACAAAGTGTAGGGATTCCAAAAATACAAAGAGTGACACCTTCAAAGTAGGAAAAATCAAAACTGAAATACGAAACTGAAATTCTTTTTTCCCATTTCGACGGTGTCACTTTTTGTATTATTAGGATCTTGTATGTTTTAAATACCTGTTCTGGAACATGGTTTTATTGTCTACGGCACTAATTAATCCTGAGCTCAGGCCATGGTGTTTCCATCTTTCTTTTTCCTTCTTTTTCTTTTCTCTCTACTCTCTTTTAACCATTCTTTAACACTTCTGAAGCTGTTTCTCTAAGTAGGATTTTGTCCTTTCTCTCCACTAACACAATTTCCAAACAAGTGGCATTTAGCCCAGCAGCAGCCTTCATGTATTGTTATTCTTACAAGGGACATTAAGTTCTTTCTATTTGTTTCATAAACCA